CCCAGACTCAGTGCAGTCCAGAAGTGGAGGGACTCAAACTGATCCAGGCACAGCCCAGGATTCTCGAAGTTCCTCGATACCAAGGCTGCGTGCGCGTTACACATCTCCATGGCTACCCAAACTCTGGCTGCAACAGGGACTTGGCAGGTTCACTGGCACCCAACAGTGGGCGCCAGAACCCCGGCCACAGGCCAAGAACAGGCTGCCAGGGATTACCACATTCTGTACACAGAGGTGGCCTCTAGGGGCTGTGGGGACTCAGGACATCCACAGCCTGAACCTCCTGTCCCTCTGGCTGTTCCTGTGGTGCCCCTGAGGCCCATGAGGAAGAAGGAGAAATGACAATGTGGGAGGCAGCACAGAGTGACCAACAGAGGGATGAGGAGTTCCTTGTCCTTCCTGCTTCAGTCACCATCTCCTCAGAGAAGCAGAGTGGCTCCCAGGGGTGCTGAGCTGAGCAATAGTAGTATTTTTTACAACAATGACTAAGGAGGATAGAAGGAGAATTGATGCCTTTGAGCTGTGGTGCTGGAGAAGAGTATTGAATGTACCATGGACTGCCAAGAAAACAGATTCATCCTGGAGAGAGTTAAACATGGCTGCTCCTTGGAGGCAAGGATTCTGAGGCTTTGTCTGACATACTTTGGTCATGTTGTAAGGAGGGACCAGTCCTTGGAGAGGGACATCATGCTTGGTAGGGTGGAGGGACAGTGCAGAAGGGGAAGGCCCCCTATGAGGTGGATTGATTCAGTGATTGGGGTAATCAGGATGGGTGTGTCGGAGACGGTGCGATTGGCACAGGACAGAGCAGAGTTTAGGGCTGTTGTACATAGGGTCGCTATGAGTTGCAAGTGACTCGACAGCACATAACAACAACAACGATTGTTGTAGTTGTTAAGAGCAGTTGAGTACAACTCATAGTGACTTTATGAAAAACGGGTCTGAAACATGTTCTATCCTGAGCCATTGCTGAAGTCACCAAGTCAGTTAATCTCATTGAGGGTCTTCCTCTCTTTCACTGACCTGTCGTTGCAAGCATGGTGTCCCTTTCCAAGGAATAGCCTATCCTAGCACAGAGGAGAAAGACCCAAGATGATGCGGATTGACTCAGTGACTGGGGAACTGGGATTAGGCCTGTCAGAGATGATGAGATTGGCGCAAGAAAGGACAGAGTTCAGAGCTGTTGTACAACAGCAGAAATACACCCGAAGTATGTAAGATGAAGTTTCATGATGTGACTACTAAGTGACCTATTTTCCAGATGGTGCAACTGAGGCCCAGGGAGCATAATCAATAACAGAACCTGGATTCAAACCTCCCTCTCCTGGCAGAGCAGTGAGGCAGGTAAAAGCTGCATCAAATCCCAGGGGCTCCCTACTTCATTCTGTGCCTCAGCATCCCCAAGCTATGAAATGAGAATATATAACAACTTAACAGGTTAAGGGAGCTCTGGTGGCCTAGTGGCAAGAAGCAGCACTACAATCTCAGAGGTACGCAGTTCAAATTCACCAGAAACTCTGCTGGAGAAGGAGGGGCACTCTCTTCCTGTACCAGTCAGATCCTATTTGACGGTACGCACACACAAAATAAAGTAAAATAAATAAATACATAAATATATAAACAAACAAACAAACACTTAAGAACTGAATTAATTTCATATTCACCTTGGTCTGTGCCCCCAGTGCCTGTCGGCCTCCTCCGGCCTCAAGAGGGGCACATTCCAGATCCCAAACCTGAGCCGTTCTGGGCTGCCCCACCACAGAAACCACTTCATCTGCACATCTCACTGTCTCTGCCCCCCCAAACACAGCCAGAAGCTGTGTGAGGCTCTCGGACTATGGACTATCACTCTGACACTATCTGATTTCCTCCCAGGAGTTGGTCACACCCCTGTTCCAACAGCAACCACAGGGATGGATTAGGATCTAAATCAGGTCACCTCCCACCCTTGCTCCCAAGCCCTCTGAGGCTCACATGTCCTGCTATGGGGGCCATGGCCCTCAGAGCTCAGCACAATCTGCCCCCATCTCCCTACCCTTTTTCTCCCACCTCCTCCCCATTCTTTTTAAAAAATATTATTTTATTATTTTGTGTGTGTGTGTGTACTATCAAATGGGAAACCTCCTCATTCTTGAACAAACCAGTCACATCTCCACCTCAGGGTCTTTGCATTATCTCTATTTTCTCACTCTAAACTTACCCCATCCCACTACCGCCCAAAACACATCTTGCCCTGATTGAAGATTTAGAATTGCAGCCCCACCTACCCGCACACTTCTGCTGCCTCCCACCTACCTCCGCCTTTCTCCTCTCTCAGCACATCATCCTGACTTGAGAGAGCTGGTGAGCTCTGTTTGGTTCACAGCACTTAAAAGAAACTCAGCACACAGCAGGTGCGTGACACGTGTTGATAACTGTTACTACTTACCCACCTCGCTCCCTCTGCAGTCTTGAGGAATAGAGTCAAGGCATCTAGGGGGACTGTACCCTTGTGTCCAGGGTACTGCGATGAGAATAGCATCACTTTATGAAAGGTCCTGAGCACTCCGTGTGCAGCGTGGCCCCAGGCAGCTTGGCACACAGTATGTGCTCAATAAATGTCCCTCACTCTTGAATGAAGGGAGAGATACTCGTAAGGGTCAGGGGTCCGCACTCTGGAGCCAACCTGTGTGTGGCATCTTTCTGGTTCCAAGAAGCTGCCGCCTTGCTGGGCTGGCAGATGTGCCCCAGAGCTGGCGCACACAGTAGGAGCTTTCGGTCTTGAAAGCTGGAACTATCTGGAGGAGTTTCCCTAGGTTGACCCCACCCTGGCATCGTGGCTGCCGCCCAGCCCAGCCGGGTCAGCATCCCCGCCCAACAGAAGGCAGCAGGGGGCAGGATTTCCCGCTGAGCCGGCCTGGGCCCTGCTCTGCTGTTTGAAAAGAAACCAACGGGGAGTTTAACCCTCCGGAGCCGGGCAGACCCAGGCAGGCGGCCCACTCCTGCTCCTCTGGTCCTGTCACATGGAGGCCAAAAGTGGCCGAGGACTGGCCTCTCCCCCGCCTGCCCACTCAGGGCCTCTGCGTCAGATGGCCACCTCCTGTCCCTCAGAGCCTCAGTGATCCCGTCTGTACAACGGGTTCTCCGCCCTCTGCGTTCAAAATGGGCATTCAGTGAGAGCAGAGAGCCAGGCGCTGAGCGGATTGCAGTAACCGGGCCGCCTCCTCCTCCTCCTCCTCCTCGCGGGCCAGCACTGGGGGCAGGAAGCTCGCAGCCTTTGGAGATGGGCCGGGTTATCTGGCCTGGGTTATCTGGCCTGGGAAGGGCCACCCGGGCCGGAGGTGATTCTGCAGCCCCCGGTCCCTATCGCTTCCTGGATTCATCTTGGGAACAGGCCGTGCCCGGGAAGGCCAGAGCCGAGGGAGGGAGCGCACTGAAAAAGAAGCGATCCTCCTCCCCGAGGAGACCTAACAGAGTTGGAAGGATCCTGGGGATTGGCCTGGAGCGGAGCAAGTGAGCCTGGGGGTGCAGGGCCTGGGGGAGGAACCTTGTCTGCGGGGTGCCTGTCCCGCGCTCGCCCTGCAGTCGCTGACAAGGCCCAGAGCCCCCCAGCTGCCCGCCGGGCCTCTAGGTTGCAGCTCCTCCCCGATCCCGCCCTGCCCGCCTGGG